GCTCGTTCCGGTGCTTTTCCCTTTTGCTTGGAGATTGTCAGTTTTCACGGGTGAGGGAATGAAGTTCAAAGAAGCAGGAGGAAAAAGGGTTTGAACGAGGCGAGGGAAATGATCTGCTTTTCAAAATGATGTCTGTTCTCAACCACTATAACAGTATTACATTTTTCATTGTAGAAAATGTGTAAAAAGTATGTAGAAGTATAAAGAGGAAAATGAAAATTATCCACAATGCCATTTTTCTAAGTTCAGCCACTGTTAGCATTCTACTGTTCTTCCTCCTAGTCTTTATTCTATAAATATATATTTTGTATAAACGTACATAATTGATGTTTTTTATATATAAAATTTTACATTTTATATGTCACTTGATATTTTGGCATGGGGTTTTCTACACGTTTTTATTTACTCTCAGTAATAATAATTGTTAATTTGCTACTTGTCATTCCACTGGATATATCACAACTTAACCATTTTCCTGTTATTGTGGAAAACTTACGTTGTTTATAATTTTTCACTATGATAAATAGCATTTCAGTGAACATCTTTATGTATAAGGTTTTCTCTGCATTTTGACTTAGTTCCTTAGCACAGAACCCCTGATGTAGAAATGCTTGGTCAAAACTATGAATCTGGTGCCAGATTGCTTTCTGCCTGGCTGTACCAATTAGATAGCAATTCTTTCAAAGGACTTATCTGTGCTTTTGTAAGTGCTGTTGATTTGTAGATATGAACCCTAAGCTTTTCCCTCCTCAGGAGAAAGCTTAAATTTGTACTAGAGCAAAATGGGGTGGGAGGTGGGGGGCTTGCCTGCTTTGCACAGGAGATAAGCTCTCAGAGGGAAAATCTAAAGCCATATCCGTCTGTGATGATGCTTTGCATGTCTTAAAGGAAGTGCTACTTCTCTTCTTCTGTTCCCTTCATTTCACGTCGACGAGGACCACCTGCTTCTTCGCTAACTGTTGCACACTGTGCTATTGTGCTTACGAAAATGAAACAAGTTGGTTATCGAAAAACCTGTTTGTTTGACATTGAGAATCTTGATCAAAATAGACCACAGAAATCTGCTCAAATTTCTAATTTGACAGGACGGCCATGTGGCTCCTACATTCTGTTAACAGTTCCTCCTTGTCGTCACCCAGCCCCGAGCACATGCAGCACAGTTTACGGACTGTCTTGGGCGGTGTATGTAGATCAGATTGAAGAGATTTCTTCTGTGTTTTACCTTTGTTTGTCAGGTTTGGGGATGTATTCAAAGCTCCTGTATGAAAAATGTAAATTGACTACTTTTCTAATAGGCCTTCAGTGCCAATTACTGTGGAGTTTGAAACACTCGTCTGAAGACCATTTGTCTGTTGGAGTCCACAGCTCTTCCCTGCCTCTCCTCCTGCCCGCCAGACTGTTCCAGCACAGGCGTTTTCAGACTCCTTTTCATGTCCCTTTACCCTCGGCGTTGTCCAGGCTGCTAGTCTTGCTGGTATTAGCCTCCTTTTCTTCTCTACGTGCCCTCCAGTCATCTCGTTTAAGGCTTTTTGTTTCAGCTACCAAGGTAGTGTCAGTGATTCTCAGAGGCGTTTCTAACGGTAGCATGTCTCTCTCTGAACACAGGTCCAAAGTGTCAGGTACCAGTTGAACTTCACCTAGATGTACGATAGATGTCTCAAATTCAGCCTTACACACACACACACACACACACACACACACACACACACACACACACACAGTAAGCTGTTTCACTCCCCTTCCAGCGTTTCCGGTCTCTGTGAATGGCACCACTGCCTGGAAAGGCACCAAAAACAGGACACACCGAGCATGGCTGAATGCTCCCCTTCCTCATTCTTTCGTTCTAAATAGTCACCAAGTCTCTGACATGGCTCTTGCCCTGTTCCGTCCTTACTGCCTGCACTGACAGTTTGCTTTGCTTTCTTGGATTCTTGCAAAGCCTTGTTCATTCATTTGCTAAAGCAAAATGAAGACCTCTTATGTTCCAAATATTTTGCTAGATCCTGGAGTTCTGAAGATGAATATAAAACTCAGTTCATAGTCCTGGCATTTAGTGGGTTGCCTTCTGCCGGGTTCCTGTACCTTTAGTAGCCACCCTTTCAGTCTCCTTCTGCACGGCCCTGACTTCTACTCAGTCTCTTCGCTGCCGTCAAGCCTTCTGTCCTCTCGCTGTCCCTCCTTAACCGTGTGCTCTCTGATCTCTAACCACACCCCTATTCCTGCAGGGCTAAGCCTTGCCCTTCTCCAGCTCTTCTAAGAAGTCCTCCCGTTTTGTCATTGTCTTTGACTTACTGTACCTGCTGCTCTGGGTGATAGCTGTTTACTTCTCTGTCCCTCGCCATCATCCCTTAGAGCATAAGCTCTTTGAGAATAAGGACTGTGCTTCATTTACTGTGGCGTCCCCAGCACATCGCAGTGCACCCAGCAGGTGCTTTCTGAAAAGGACTGAGTGAGTGCTCGGAAAGCTGGGATCCAGAACACATCTAGAGCCCTCCAGCAGGCATCACTGTTTGCAGAGAACCCAGCACCATCATTTTAGTTAAAGATGAAGGGTGTACATTTTTTACTTTTATATGGTTGTAAGTAGTTTAAAACAAGGCCTTTTGTTCGTAAAACATGCGATGTAAAACGTGCATACATTTTCAAGCTAAAACTTGAGACAGAGTTTTGCGCTTAGGTAAATGGGTGCAAGTCCACTCTGCTCAGTCTTTGAAAGGCTTTAAGCGAGGAGGTTTGAGAAGCACTGGCTGAGCTCCTTCTTAGCCCTGTTGATAGGCTACAGTAGGGGAGGGGTTTGCCGTGCTGAACTCCTGTGTGGTCAGCACTAAAAGAAAAAGAAAAAGTAGCTGCCCCACACTTGAAGCCGGCTAACATACTTCCTGAACAAAGTAGCATTTCCTGGGTGCGTTAGGCAGCCAGGAACTACAAAATCTTGGACTTTAGTCTTTCAGTCTCCTCCCATGGATTTCAGCTCAGACTCGGAATGCTCTAGCCATGCTTCTGGACTGAGTTTATCTGGTCCTATTATACCCTTCGGATGAGGAGGATGCTGCCCGTGAGATTCCTGCCAGGAGCTGTGGGCTGCAGTGCTGGGGGAGGAGCTCGTACCTGGGCGGAAGGACAGACAGCTCTGTAAGGAGGGAGCTCGGGAAGGCCCATCCCCTCTCCCGTACTAGTTTTCTTACTGGCAATTCAGCAAAAGGCTTATTTTTGACTGTCTTGTTATTTTTTCTTGAAAGCTATAGGCACCTTATTATGCCTTTGCATATGTGCCAGAATTTTTTAAACTTCAAATGAATGTGGCAGATGTTCATAAAAGTTTAGAAAAAGCTACCATAGGAAGACTTTTTAACCATTTTTATGACACTCAAATTTGTTGCACTCAAAGAAATATAAATTGTAACCTAACATTCTCATTCGGGAAAAGGTTATTTTGAGGAAAGACCTAATTCTAGTGTTCATGCTCTTATTAGGGTCCGTGCTGTTTGTTCAGTTGTAACCGAGTCACCCTAAAAAGTCCACCTTCCTTCTAAAGTGACACGTTTACAGCTCATCGTCATTCTTATCCCCCCTTCTGCCTTTTTATCTCTCTCTCATTTCAGCAAACATTAATTTGAGTCTGGTGGTAAGTTACCAGGATAGCCAAGGGGATTGGCATAGACCTAGTTTCTTCTTGGAGAGAATGATCATGTCAGCTGGCAGCTCGGAGACACCGAAACGTGGCCAGATTACACAGTGACTGTTTCCTTTTATTCTCTCGACCTCAGTTTAGTTCAGGAGATGTTTTTGCAGCTCCTCTTCTGTGCCATGTCTGCTAGCAGGTGCTTCTCCTGTTTGATAAATGAAGACCTTCCTTTCTAGGCCTCACAAGCAATGCTTAGAGTAACGACATTCTCTCTCATTCCTTGGTGGCGGAATGGTCGGGACGGAGGAAGGAAGGTGGCAGCAATGACAGTTCCGGGCAGGGGCTCAGGTTCGGCGTAAATGAAGCTCTTCCTAGACACAGAGACAGTGAAGGGGAGCAGCTAGAATGTGGGGCTCTGGATTCTGGCTCCCTACTTCCTCCTTGTGTGACCTTGGGCAGAGTAACTGATCGCTGAGCGTTTTCTCACCTGTAAAATGAGGGCAGTGGTTGACCTCCCCTGTAGCAGCGGTCTCCAGCCTTTCCGGCACCAGGGACCGGTGCTCCTGTGAGAATCTGATGCCTGAGGATCTGAGGCGGAGCTGAGGCGGTGATGCTGGCGCTGGGGAGCGGCTGCAGATACAGAGGAAGCTTCGCTCGTTCGCCCTCCCGCCGCTTACCCCTGCTGTGCGGCCTGGTTCCTAACGGGCCACGGACCCCTTGACAATCTCTGCCCTACAGGACTGTTCTGGAGGATCCAGTAGGAGAATGGTCATTGGGTGCCTAGCACAGTGCCTGGCACATAAAGAATTTAATAAAGGCCGACAACCACTGCTATTTTTATTTCCTCACTGGCCTTAAAGCTAAGGACATGGTTAAGTTGATGGTTTTAAAATTGTGTTTCAAGGACTTTTAGTTCCAAGGCTCACCGTCATCATCCTCATTTCCTAGAGAGGGTGTTTCAACAAAATTGTTTTGCACCTGCCCTGTTTTCTCCTGGGTTTCAGTGCTGGAGGAATGTTCCAGAATGGGCGTGGCACTGGTGTAGGATTTGGTAGATGCACTTCAGCCCCCTGCTTGACCACTCCCCCGCTGTGGTAACTTCGGATGTGATACCTTGTTTCTCTGTATCTTAGTGTCTTCTTCTGTAATAGCCCGTAGTACCCGCCTCTTGGGATTTTGGTAAGGAGTCAGCGAG